CCCCTAGCATGAGCACCGCGATATGATAAATAACGGCGTTTTTATCATACTCAATTGTCAAATTACTATGGAGTTTGTGTCGCCGCACACGGGCCACCGACCACAACCACAAAACGCCGCAACCGGCATATTTCTTGTAGTTTTCATACATTTTATATGGACTCGCCACACACGGTACGCCGCACAGTGGGTGAAAAAAAGAGGTCCCCTTTCATAGGATTTTTGAAAAAATAAAAATGTTTATTATCCGTTTAAGGTATGCGGTTTTATTGGACATATCAGTACATTGAATAATAAAATAGTTTGGGGAATTTCCTTTTAATCTAACACCATAAAGCACGGGCTTTAGAGTTTCAAATGTATGAAAACGGAATTTGTTTTGCTCATAACTTGTATCGGTCTTCTACGGTCAAGCTGAAACTTATAGGGATTATTACCGGGTCTGTTACGAAGCCATGTGACCTTTGACCTTCACCCCGGACGGCCCCGTTCAAAAGATACGAATTTTTCAAAATGCTTATTAGGGTAATTTTGCTTTACGGGGTTATGTGTCTCAATAAACAGTTTGTTTATGTTTCTTGCCCAGCATTTAGTTATTAATATAACACAGATTATTATCTAATAAAACTACACAGTAGATAACGCCACCATACAACTTAACTTTAAATAAAAGCGTCCTAATTCAAAAGATATGGAATTAATATAAATAGATAAAAGAAATAGTTTTAAGAAAAAGAAAACAAGAATACAATATTGTAAAGAATTACAATGAAGTCGTTTACAGCCTACAATTTAATCTTTTGTTTGACAATCGCTTAAAAGCCGCGCACCATTAACGAGAGCATCATTACATATAAACAATACAAACTCTATTGTTGCAGGTTTTGAGGAATTCAAAGGGTTACCCACAGTCATTACCTGCCGTTGTTTGCCTATAATAATTAATTTTGTCAAACAAACATACTTACACTTACAATGTCTATCTAAGAAAGGGTTTGATCAAATATGTTTATTTTGGGATACCTAGAACTTTAACTGACTAAGCTTAAAATGAACAAAGTGTTTTTCCAGATAAACTAGCTGGTTATTAATATTAGTAAATGTAGTAAGGGAGATTCTGATATGTTACTGCCAAACGAGAAAATAAACTATTTACATTATGAATAAAACAAAATTATTAACATCAATATTTTTATTTACAAAACTTAAATTACTACTAAGCTTGATATTATAAATTAAATAATGCATAATAAGGAAGCCACAACTGTATAAATTACTACACACATACAAGCTAAAGTATAAAAGATTAGTAGAACTCAAATTGGCTACAACAGTTCTTAAATATGTAAACTGTTTATATTAATATGATACAAAGATACAAAAAATAAAAATACAAAGTTTGATATAATTTGATTTGAGGGAAAGAACACATACTAATCAAAGTCATAATCAGATACATTACCTACATCTACAAACTCTATATTTTCTTTATCTTCACAAGAAGTTAATAATAATGATTTAGCTTCATTTGTGAGAGGTTTATTTCGTTGACATATTTTAGGCCTGAAACTTGATAGGTATGGGTCAGACGATATTAACAAATTATTGATAATATCTTCATTTGTTGCAATCCTGCTAGATTTACGCGAGTGGAAGGTTCTGAAGTTTTTAAAATCTTTGTTACGAGCTTCAGAGGCCTCTTCAGAGAGCTTGCCGATTGGTATAAAGTTATTGTGCTCTATTATATCGGCACCATGAATGAGTAATTTATGCACGCTTGAGGGCATATAATACCATTCATAGAGCTCGACATATTTGCGTGCTGCAGCAGCACAATATTGGCGGAATTTTTCCACGTCCACAAACTCTCCACATGAGATAGCCTGAAGAATCACTCCAAATCTTCTAACGAGTTCTTCATCAACACCCGTTATTTGAGCAGTAATTTGAGGATTAACAAAAAATCTTCTTGCTGTGTTTCCATCGTTGCTTGTACCAGCCCCTTGTTTAACAACGTCCACAAGTAGCCCCGTTTCAGTCCGGAATTGTTCTTGAATAGCCTTTTTTCTTTGGCTTAACTGTTGCTTCAAATCTTCGCCCTTAGCTTGCCATTTCTTGAAGTCGAGACGGTAAGCAATATGTAAGATACATTCCATGCATCTAATTCGTGCATGGAGGGAAGACAGACCGAACTTAAACATGTCTACAGACTGGGTTCTCTGAGTAACCTTGTCGATATCATTCATTTCTTTTGGTTTTGCTTTGCATATATCGCATGTAGCTGTGGATGTATCTGATAAATGTGAAGTTATTTTACCATCAATCATCGTCATATGCAGAACGTGTTTTACATTTGCACCATCGATAACAGTTGGATGTAGAGCAGCAATTTCCGTATCAATTAAAGTCATTTCTTCTTTAACATTCAAATCGTTCTCTTTAGCAAACTTAAAATAAATGGGTCGACAGTAAAACGTTGAAGACGCTTTGGGGTTTTCCCATATTATTTCATCAGTACCATCTCTCACCAGTTTTAACGGCACAAATGAACACATGAAGATGCTTGAATCATCGCCGTCAATTTTTTGTTGGTAGTTGCTTTGCCCAGATGCACCGTCAAACCCCCATTTACTGATAAGAGTCGAATTACTGCCAGTTAAATCAGTTTCCAGAGTTTTTAATAGTCTCTTGACCGTAATATCTAAAATAGACTGAAGTTTAAGTTTAACTTCAGTCTCAGTTATTACCATGTCTTCTTTTTCAACGTAGCACTCCTTCTTCTCTTGCTTCAAAGTATCATACGATGGAAGTATATCACACCCCATGTCTCTCATTGTCTGCCTCAATGTAATATACTGCCATTTCGATAATTTCAGTGATGTTGAAATACCGAGTGCCTTATCGGTATGACAAGTTCGTTTCGTCGATTTCAGGCAGGCTCGCAGCATTGGCGCATCTTCAGGCTTTTTAATCAAATGCTTCACTAATTCTACAAAGTCCGTTTGGTTTTCATTTTCCGCTTTCCTAGCCAGCGCATAAGCAAGTGTCTCAAAATCGTTTTCGGCAATGAGATTTTCAGTTCTTCTTCTTTTTTGCAGTGGACTCAAATTGGCAAATTCTTTTCGAGGACTAAATGTAGCGGTTGATGTCGACACAGCCACACTATGAGGAACAGTGCATTCCGTTGATAAAATAGGTCTTGTTACTGTTGAAATACTTGTTGAAGGATCTTCAAAACTCGTCATAATATTTGATTGTTCTTCAGTTATGTCTAGTGAAACAAACTCTGGCCATTTTATTTCTTGGTCCAACCAGTCAGCAAACTTCTTTATAAAATTCCCTTGTGTGTAATTAGCTGACTTCCATTTGCGTTTAAGATTACTCGTATATGTAGCACAAAACGTTTTAAGAGTTGTCTTTTGTTCTTCAGATAATGAAAATCTCACTGAATCGAGTACTTTTTGAAATAACATGTCGGCACTAAAAGATTTTTGCCTCATATATATATATACGTCGAGATTAGACACAAGCCCTTCCATTCTGAGCAACTTAAAATTTGAGCAAAGAGAACGTTACGGTACGAATCAATAATGATAAGTAAAATGAAATACAGGTGTACTCCGTATTTATTATAATCGAAGTCATTGTTGAATAATAATAATAACAACGTATTATTTATTCACCTACCCACAATAAAAGCAAATAATCAGTAATTATTATAGGCAAACAACGGCAGGTAATGACTGTGGGTAACCCTTTGAATTCCTCAAAACCTGCAACAATAGAGTTTGTATTGTTTATATGTAATGATGCTCTCGTTAATGGCGCGCGGCTTTTAAGCGATTGTCAAACAAAAGATTAAATTGTAGGCTGTAAACGACTACATTGTAATTCTTTACAATATTGTATTCTTGTTTTCTTTTTCTTAAAACTATTTCTTTTATCTATTTATATTAATTCCATATCTTTTGAATAAGGACGCTTTTATTTAAAGTTAAGTTGTATGGTGTCGTTATCTATATATATATATATGTATAGTTTTATTAGATAATAATCTGCGCTGTATTAATAACTAAATGCTGGGCAAGAAACATAAACAAACTGTTTATTGAGACACATAACCCCGTAAAGCAAAATTACCCTAATAAGCATTTTGAAAAATTCGTATCTTTTGAACGGGGCCGTCCGGGGTGAAGGTCAAAGGTCACATGGCTTCGTAACAGACCCGGTAATAATCCCTATTAGTTTCAGCTTGACCGTAGAAGACCGAGACAAGTTATGAGCAAAACAAATTCCGTTTTCATACATTTGAAACTCTAAAGCCCGTGCTTTATGGTGTTAGAAAAAAAGGAAATTCCCCAAACTATTTTATTATTCAATGTACTGATATGTCCAATAAAACCGCATACCTTAAACGGATAATATACATTTTTATTTTTTCAAAAATCCTATGAAACCTCTTTTTTTCACCCACTGTGCGCCGGTGGCCGCCACACGCCACAAATCGTCATTGCTCGCTTCTTGTGGCCCGCTCCGGCCACTTAATGTGCCGATACAAAACGCTGCCACACGTCACTCGCGTGATTCCTCACCCCTCCCTCATTATTTATATGAAGAACCTAATTTGTATTAAATAACTTTATTTCTCAAATAATGCATATCTATTATGTCTAGTATTCTTAATGTCATCCGATTTCATTTATTTTATAATATTACTTATTAATGTGTATATATATGAATATATGTATTAAAGTAACAAATAATTTACATTTATTTATTTGGTTATATGTATTCTTCATCTTAGTTTTGCACTCTACCTAACCTACATACTAATTGTCTCCACAATACCCTATGGTTGACTGGTAGGGAATGCCTACGGCATTAAGTCCGCCTTTGTACATTAGGAATTAAATAAATAAATATATACTATCTTACGTAAGCATGAAAATATTGAATCAATTCTTAATGATATTCTGTTTTTTGTGGTTTTCGATACTTACTGGGCAACATACTGATGAAATCCCTCTGCAGCATAGGTTTGAGGTAGGCATTTATGTGGCCGTGTTGGTAGTGGCACATGCGGGCCAACAACTGTTCCACGAATTCAACCTGCAAATAACAAAACGCATACCATTTTGTTAAAACCATGACGACCTCCGTGACCAAGTGGTATATTGGGTTTCAAGGTGACGCCGACTCGAGAGGTCCCGGGTTCGAATCTCGGTGGGGACAGATGTTTGCAGGTGTGATGAATACGAGCATTTGTAAGTTACCACCACCGCACCAGGTCACCGACCACAACCACAAAACGCCGCCACCCGGCATATTTCTTGTAGTTTTCATACATTTTATATGGACTCGCCACACACGGTACGCCGGTGGCCGCCACACGCTACAAATCGTCGTTGCTCGCTTCTTGTGGCCAGCACCGGCCACTTAATGCGTCGATACAAAACGCCGGCACACGTCACTCGCGCGATTCCCCACCCCTCTCTCCCCTGCCTTAGTCGGCCGCTGTCGCGCGCTTCAGCCACTTTAGTAGCCGCCTCGGCGGCGTTTGTGGCTGGGGCGTGTGGTCCGTCTACGGCGACACTAATGCATATGCGTTGAATATAGTGTTTTTTCATACAATGAGTGTTCCTCCAGTGAGAGCATAAAATCTTTACTCGTTTTCCCAAAAGAGAAAAGGTATCTTTCCGCTTAAGGCGTTTAAAATTGTTAGCTTAATGCTTAACTCCGCTGGCTTAGCTTAGCTTGCATAGCTTATAATATTTTGTAAATATTATTACATAATTATTTAACGCTGTGACGTTTTTCTCCACAGCTAAAAAAATGTCCATAACTGGTGGTACGGAATAAAGACGCCGATGGGATTCAAAGACGACCGACCTCCGTGGCCGAGTGGTTTGTACACCGGGTTTCATGATTTCACCTACTCGAGAGGTCCCGGGTTCGAATCCCGGTGGGGGCAGATGTTTGTGTGATGAATACGAGCATTTGTACTCCAGTCATGGATGTTTAATATGTATTTCTATGCAAATATACTTATATAATGTACAGTTTAAGTATTCTATCCGTTACCCTAGCATCCCATAACACAAGCCTTACAGTGCTTACTTTGGGGCTAGGCTAATTGGTGTGAGTGTCGGAAATATTTATTTATTTTATTTATTTTTAAGGCCGTATACAGAAAGAAAGCTGGAAGCCGACCAGCGCTTGTCGAAGATTGTCGGAACTTATCGGCGACGTTCAGCGCTTACCAGCGCTGGTCCATAGAAATGTCTGCGCCGGTTACCTGCGCGGACCGGTTCCTATAAGTGCTGGTAGGCTGCCATCTTTCTTTCTGTATACGGCCAAAAGCGTTGGGATTTATGCATCCAATTTGAATAAAGAATTTTTGACTTTAAATCGCTTATACCTGGTCTGTCTCGCTCCACCGCGCGAAGTAGTTGAGGCAGGCGTCTCTTTCCGCCGCGTACGCCGCGCTGCTCGGCGCCGGCCGCACACCCGTGTCCAGGCATGTTAGCGACGTCACCTACAAACGAAGAGGCGTAAGATAAAGACTAGCTGGCAAAACTTATTATACCCTAAAGAAAATATTACTAGAAAAAAATCCAACCTAACCTAAAGAGATGACGCTGCCTTGCAGCTTAAGAATGGCTAGAAAGAATTCGACACGGCCGTCACGGCCGCGGTAGCATAACTGATCAGTGCATTCGCCCAGATAGTGAAGGCTACTGGTTCGAGTACCGTCTGCTGCCTGGTCCGCGTGGACTTTTTTCTAGTAATATTTTCTTTAGATTTAAACATCGAGCAGTTACATGATTAAAAAAATAAAATTATAATTGTTCTAGCCTGCTAATAATATTGAAATAATTGTGAAAGTTTCATAAACGAAGAATATGCTTCATGGCTCTATTACACATGGTCGCTAGTCCATTTTCGAAGTTATACTTCTTTAGGCGCGTTCTGAAAAATTGTTGAGAGTGAAATTTTAAGATGCGCGCGCATCATGTAACACAAAAAATTAACACCATGAAGTTGGTCGCTTTAGCGACCAACTTCATGTGCCGCGCTGCCATTACCGCGTCGCCCGCCGCACCGTACGCATGCGCGGCCACTCGCGGTCCTAGCGCGGGAAACACGTACAACAAACATCGGGAAAAGTTACGAGTTTTGAATTTAGAACAGAGACTGTTTTCATATCTATATATATAAAAATGAAACCCGTTTTCCGTTGTCACGACATAACATGAAAACGGCTTGACCGATTTGGCTGTTTTTTTTTGTAGTTTTCTAATACTCTGTACAAGGTTCTTACGGAAAAAAATATAAAGAAAATCCCAAGGGGATCAAATAAGGAATGAAAGTTTGTATGAAACTTTATCAATTTTAAACCGATCGGGCTGAGACTTTGCATGCAGGTATAAGAAGAATCATAGATGAATGTCATTGTGTATAATACAAGCCTGAGAACAAAAACTGTAGTCTACACTTCAGCTCTACACCGAAGCGAAGCGAGGGTGGGCCGCTAGTTTATAATATTTATCCACATGTTTCTAGTTTGTATATTCGGAATACGTGTTTGAGTTTCATACAAGTGCAAATCACATATGTTCTAATAAATTATATTCAGTAGCGATTTTAATTGAATATTTTGATTATTTATTTATTTTTTCAAATTAAAACTGAACTTTATTTACTGTGTCTTTTTCCAGACTTTTTATTAATTTATTGTAATTAATTATTTGCATGCAATTAAAAACTAATTTTAAACGATGCCAAAGAAGGATAACTTCTCACGCGCCTACATAAGTACACGCACCCATTTTTTTTTTTTGAGTGTGTATGCTGTTGGTCGCAGATGACCTTTACAGCGTCACCGGGTTTGGGGACGACGAGATCCTAAAGAGACCTCAAGCCGAAAATTGGCGAGTGCCTCTAGAGGTATTCCAGGCGGATGGCATCTCCCCACGGTGGGAGTCTCCTCTCCGTCTGGAGCCTCTAGACCACTCGAACCTGAGGGGGTCGGCTCAACCAGAGGGCGTCTCTGAGACTCGGACCTCGGCTCTAGTTAGCCGTTGTCGTGGGGGGCGGGGTAAAACGCCCAGGTACGTACCTGTACCTGGTATAGCGTGTCGTGTGTAGACCGGGGGGCCATTCGCCTAACCGAAATGCTTTGGAAAACGCTAACGAAATTTATTTTGTTATTTTTGACTGCTGAAGGTTTCCAAATACCTCACGCTCATTTTTTTTAACATTGTTATTACCAATGCAAAAGAAAAAAAATGCGTGAAGTATTTGAAAACCTTTGGAGGTCAGAAATAACAAAACAAAATCGAAAGCGTTAGCGTTTTCCAACGCATTTCCGTTAGGCGAATGGCCCCCTAGTTTTCGCACTCTTATCCTACGGGTGCGGTGTCTGCCTAATGCTAAGCTAGTGTGCACGTTTGCTAGCTGTGATGTGTTGGTGTTTGTGGCCTGTGTGGGAGGAATCGGAGGCGTGTTGTCGAGGGTGATTTCGTCGTCGGGGTAGTCTAAGACGCGCCGACGGAATCGGAGGGTGAAAACTTATTTGGTCTAAAAGCAATTTGCGTGCCAGGTTTGGAATCCGAGGTCGCTGGAGTTTGCGTTAACGATAATCCGCCTGCACCACGAACGCGTTTACACCACGAAAGTGTTTCCTGTCCCCGTAGTTGAGCACCACAATTTATATTATATTACGTTTTTTATCGCGCTTAGCGTTTTTTTTTTTATAACGCAGGTAAAAAATCTTTTTACAGACGACGCACAGTGGGTGAAAAAAAGAGGTCCCCTTTCATAGGATTTTTGAAAAAATTAAAATGTATATTATCCGTTTAAGGTATGCGGTTTTATTGGACATATCAGTACATTGAATAATAAAATAGTTTGGGGAATTTCCTTTTAATCTAACACCATAAAGCACGGGCTTTAGAGTTTCAAATGTATGAAAACGGAATTTGTTTTGCTCATAACTTGTCTCGGTCTTCTACGGTCAAGCTGAAACTAATAGGGATTATTACCGGGTCTGTTACGAAGCCATGTGACCTTTGACCTTCACCCCGGACGGCCCCGTTCAAAAGATACGAATTTTTCAAAATGCTTATTAGGGTAATTTTGCTTTACGGGGTTATGTGTCTCAATAAACAGTTTGTTTATGTTTCTTGCCCAGCATTTAGTTATTAATACAGCGCAGATTATTATCTAATAAAACTATACATATATATATAGATAACGACACCATACAACTTAACTTTAAATAAAAGCGTCCTTATTCAAAAGATATGGAATTAATATAAATAGATAAAAGAAATAGTTTTAAGAAAAAGAAAACAAGAATTACAATGAAGTCGTTTACAGCCTACAATTTAATCTTTTGTTTGACAATCGCTTAAAAGCCGCGCGCCATTAACGAGAGCATCATTACATATAAACAATACAAACTCTATTGTTGCAGGTTTTGAGGAATTCAAAGGGTTACCCACAGTCATTACCTGCCGTTGTTTGCCTATAATAATTACTGATTATTTGCTTTTATTGTGGGTAGGTGAATAAATAATACGTTGTTATTATTATTATTCAACAATGACTTCGATTATAATAAATACGGAGTACACCTGTATTTCATTTCACTTATCATTATTGATTCGTACCGTAACGTTCTCTTTGCTCAAATTTTAAGTTGCTCAGAATGGAAGGGCTTGTGTCTAATCTCGACGTATATATATATATGAGGCAAAAATCTTTTAGTGCCGACATGTTATTTCAAAAAGTACTCGATTCAGTGAGATTTTCATTATCTGAAGAACAAAAGACAACTCTTAAAACGTTTTGTGCTACATATACGAGTAATCTTAAACGCAAATGGAAGTCAGCTAATTACACACAAGGGAATTTTATAAAGAAGTTTGCTGACTGGTTGGACCAAGAAATAAAATGGCCAGAGTTTGTTTCACTAGACATAACTGAAGAACAATCAAATATTATGACGAGTTTTGAAGATCCTTCAACAAGTATTTCAACAGTAACAAGACCTATTTTATCAACGGAATGCACTGTTCCTCATAGTGTGGCTGTGTCGACATCAACCGCTACATTTAGTACTCAAAAAGAATTTGCCAATTTGAGTCCACTGCAAAAAAGAAGAAGAACTGAAAATCTCATTGCCGAAAACGATTTTGAGACACTTGCTTATGCCCTGGCTAGGAAAGCGGAAAATGAAAACCAAACGGACTTTGTAGAATTAGTGAAGCATTTGATTAAAAAGCCTGAAGATGCGCCAATGCTGCGAGCCTGAAATCGACGAAACGAACTTGTCATACCGATAAGGCAGTTAAACTTAAACTTCAGTCTATTTTAGATATTACGGTCAAGAGACTATTAAAAACTCTGGAAACTGATTTAACTGGCAGTAATTCGACTCTTATCAGTAAATGGGGGTTTGACGGTGCATCTGGGCAAAGCAACTACCAACAAAAAATTGACGGCGATGATTCAAGCATCTTCATGTGTTCATTTGTGCCGTTAAAACTGGTGAGAGATGGTACTGATGAAATAATATGGGAAAACCCCAAAGCGTCTTCAACGTTTTCCTGTCGACCCATTTATTTTAAGTTTGCTAAAGAGAACGATTTGAATGTTAAAAAAGAAATGACTTCAATTGATACGGAAATTGCTGCTCTACATCCAACTGTTATCGATGGTGCAAATGTAAAACACGTTCTGCATATGACGATGATTGATGGTAAAATAACTTCACATTTATCAGATACAGCCACAGCTACATGCGATATATGCAAAGCAAAACCAAAAGAAATGAATGATATCGACAAGGTTACTCAGAGAACCCAGTCTGTAGACATGTTTAAGTTCGGTCTGTCTTCCCTCCATGCATGAATTAGATGCATGGAATGTATCTTACATATTGCTTACCGTCTCGACTTCAAGAAATGGCAAGCTAAGGGCGAAGATTTGAAGCAACAGTTAAGCCAAAGAAAAAAGGCTATTCAAGAACAATTCCGGACTGAAACGGGGCTACTTGTGGACGTTGTTAAACAAGGGGCTGGTGGTACAAGCAACGATGGAAACACAGCAAGAAGATTTTTTGTTAATCCTCAAATTACTGCTCAAATAACGGGTGTTGATGAAGAACTCGTTAGAAGATTTGGAGTGATTCTTCAGGCTATCTCATGTGGAGAGTTTGTGGACGTGGAAAAATTCCGCCAATATTGTGCTGCTACAGCACGCAAATATGTCGAGCTCTATGAGTGGTATTATATGCCCTCAAGCGTGCATAAATTACTCATTCATGGTGCCGATATAATAGAGCACAATAACTTTATACCAATCGGCAAGCTCTCTGAAGAGGCCTCTGAAGCTCGTAACAAAGATTTTAAAAACTTCAGAACCTTCCACTCGCGTAAATCTAGCAGGATTGCAACAAATGAAGATATTATCAATAATTTGTTAATATCGTCTGACCCATACCTATCAAGTTTCGGGCCTAAAATATGT